CAGACCGAAAGAAAAGAGAATGAGAACGCAGGATCAGGGCACATATGCTCAGAACACTACGAGCTCATTCAAGTTTGCAGTTATGCCGGAGTCATATCCGGATCAGAAACTGGGCACTGAAGAGGTAACGGAGGTGAAGAAACTCCTGAAGAGGGCCATTCTGGCGTTACCTGACGGGGTGAAAGCACCCACCTTCAACGGTGTCTGGGAAAGAGAAGGTGTGGCAATGGTGTGCTGCACTGATGAGGAAACGGGAAATTGGCTGAAAAGCCTTTTCCCCGAAAACAAAATAGCTGGACTTACTGTACGTGTGGTCGCAGCCTCGGAGCTTCCCAAGAAGCACAGGGTTGTACTACACGTGGAAGACCCAGATCTAACCGCTCAAGAAGCACTGTGCTTCCTTGAGAAACAAAATGCAGGACTGCAGGCCAGAGAGTGGGTTGTCGCTCGGGGCAGTGAGAGTAGGGACGCGAAAAGTGCCCACTTCGTTGCGCTGATAGACGACCGATCACTCTCTGTTCTGAAAGCCTGCAACTTCAGACTGCACTGCGGGATTCAAAAAGCTACTGTCAAGCTGCTTGCGAAAGACCGTGGTGAAAGTCAGAAGAAGGGTACATAGAGGTACCAGGAAAGTAGTCATCATTATGGCTGCAACCCGGGTGCACATTGTACAGATAAATTTGCACCACAGCAAAGCAGCCTCGGCTACTCTAGTCAGGCTGTTAGCTGGGATGCAGACTGTCATAGCAATGATCCAGGAACCATGGATAGTGGACAATGCTATTAAGGGCCTCAGTGGTTGTGGCAGAATCTATCACGCAAACACTCAGGAGAAAATTAGATCTTGCATTGTTATTAAAGGACTAGACTCTTTCTTCTGTTCACAGGCTAGTGAGGGAGACCTGGCTGTGGCACAAGTGGATCTGGGCCTGGGACAAGGCGAGGAAATGAGCCTGGTTGTAGGGTCAGTTTACATGCCCTATGACTCGGCTGAACCACCTCCTTCGAAAAAAGTAAAGGACCTATGCAACCATGTGAAGGAAAGGGGACTTGAACTCCTGCTAGGTTGTGATGCCAACTCGCACCATGTAGCATGGGGGAGCACCGGCATTAACGGCAGGGGGGAAAGCCTCCAGGAATTCATAATGGGGGCCGGTCTAAACATCCTTAATAGGGGGTCAGAACCTACCTTCATAGATCGGAGACGACAGGAGGTCATAGATATCACTCTGGGGACGGATAGAGTGGCAGACATGATTGGGGACTGGAGGGTCTCAAAGGACCTCTCAGCGTCCGATCATCAAACCATAAGAATGTCCATCCACACAGTGAAAGAAACGGAATGGGTGAGAAACCCAAGACGAACAAACTGGGGAAATTACCGAGAGAGTCTATCTGACAATCTCAGGGATATCATCCTCAGATTTAACAACAAAAAGCAGCTGGAGGAGGCTTCGATTGCCCTAAACCAGGCCATCATGGACTCCTTCGAGACAAACTGCAAGCTTATCCCGAAAGGGCAGCCCACTGAGACTCCTTGGTGGTCAGAGAGGCTCGGTGGGCTGAGGGGCAAAGCTAGAAAAGCTTTTAACAAAGCTAAGAACATGAGAGCGGGCCCCCGTAAGGAAGACGCATGGAAAACTTACAGAGGCTTGCTCGCAGATTACAACAAGGCAATAAAGGCAGCCAAAGAGGACTGCTGGAGGGCTTTCACAAGCAATGTGGAGAGTCAATCGGAGACCTCTAGGCTGGCAAAAATCCTTGGAACAAACAAGACTCCATATCTAGGGAGCCTACAGGCACCAGATGGCAGCCACACGGAAACCATGGGAGAGACTCTGAAACTCCTAATGAACACCCACTTTCCAGGCTTCATACAGGCCCAGGAGAGAGATAAAGAAACAATGCAAAATCAGAGGGATGTCTACGAAACCCATGATTGGGCATTGGCAAATAAAGTAGTGCAGCCCTGGGGGGTCAAGTGGGCCATCAAAACCTTTGAACCCTTCAAGGCACCGGGACCAGACGGGATCTACCCAGCCCTATTACAGGAAGGGATAGAGACTATCACGGGACCCCTAACCAAGATACTCAGAGCTAGTATAGCCCTGAAACATGTCCCTAGTGTGTGGAATGAGACTAGGATAGTATTCATTCCCAAGCCGGGAAAAACCGGTTATATAAAACCAAAAGACTTCCGTCCTATAAGCCTCACATCCTTCATCCTGAAGACCCTGGAGAGGCTGGTGGATAGACACATCAAGGCCGGGCCCTTGGCTGACAGACCCCTCTCCCCCTGTCAATATGCATACAGAGAGGGACGATCAACAGATACCGCCTTACATCACCTGGTGGGACTGATTGAGGGACAACTGGCGGTCAAGGGTTTTGCCATAGGCGCCTTTCTGGATATTGAGGGGGCTTTTGATAGCACTTCGAATCCGGCTATAGAAAAAGCCATGGAAGAACGACAGGTGTCCAAGACTATCATTGCTTGGACACAAAACATGCTGAAAAGCAGAAGACTGTCGGCAGGACATGGGAGGGTATGTGTGGAGGGACGTCCGACTAGGGGCTGTCCGCAGGGGGGAGTTCTCTCGCCCCTGCTATGGAACCTGGTTGTAGATGGACTTCTAAATCAACTAAGTGAGGCCGGCTTCCACGTCATCGGTTTCGCCGATGATGTGGCAGTTGTTGTGAAAGGCGGATTTCTGAGGGTGCTAAGGGACCTGATGGCAACAGCCTTCAATATCATTGAGGACTGGTGCAGGGTAACTGGCCTATCGGTAAATCCAGCCAAAACAACAATCCTGGTTTTCACCAGAAATTATAAACTGGAAAAGATCCAACCTCTGAAGCTAAATGGCTCGGAGATTAACTACACCAGCAGAGTGAAATATCTGGGTGTCCTCCTGGATAATAAACTCAGCTGGAAAGAACATATCTGTACTCAGAGAAATAAAGTGTTTGCCTCTATGTGGGCATGCAGGAGAGCTGTGGGCAGGACATGGGGACTCAATCCTAAAATGATGCTCTGGCTCTACCAAATAGTTCTACTTCCGAGACTGTTATACGCTGCGGTCGTTTGGTGGCCGAGGGTGAGTAAGACGGAAACAAGGAACCTGTTGAAAAGCCTACAGGGAACCTTCCTGAGGGCTGCAACAGGAGCCATGAAATCGACACCTACTGAGGCGCTAGAAATAGCACTCAGTATCCCACCCCTCGACCTTAGGGTTGTGAGTTGTGCTACCACAACTGCATATAGACTAAGGTGCCAACTAGAATGGAAGATGACGGGCCAAGGCCATACAAGGCTTAGCCTAATCAATGATCGACCCTTCATAGGTAAGACGGATAGGATTCCTAGGAAGTATCAGATCAGGAAAACTTTCAGAACGAGTATACCACCCAGACAGGAGTGGCTAGACTCGAAACGTAAACCAGGACCAAGAGAGGACTACTGGTTTACGGACGGCTCTGGCTTCAATGAAAGTTTTGGGGCAGGCATCTACCGTCTGAAAGATGGCTTCGGAGAGAGTTTTCCGCTGGGCCATCATTCAACCGTCTTTCAAGCAGAGATGCTGGGCATACTTAAGTGTGCAGAGTATCTGAACGCGAGAGACACAAAAAAGATGAAAATATTCATCTGCAGTGACAGCCAGGCGGCGATACACGCCCTGGAAAAACCCACTACAGAGTCACAGGTGGTGTGGGAATGCATGCAGGCATTGGACACACTGGGTAAAAACAACCGGGTCACCGTAACCTGGGTGCCAGGTCACCATGGGATTCTGGGTAATGAAGAGGCAGATAAGCTGGCCAAGGAGGGTACAGAAAGTGTGCCCTCACACGGCCTGCTTGGCATGCCCTTCGCAGTGGGAAAAACTCTTATTAAAGATCATTTCCAGCGGGATCATGTCAGGCGTTGGGAGAAAGTTGCGACCTGCAGACAAGCGAAACTGCTTATGAGAGGGCAACTAAGAGTTAGGACCAGAAAGCTTCTGGAGTTGCACAGAGGGGATCTGAGGGTAGCAGTAGGGCTCCTTACGGGTCATACAGCTCTCAGAGCTCATCTGTTCAAGATGAAACTTGCAGAACAAGAAGACTGCAGACTGTGCGGAGGCGATAAGGAGGGCGTCATCCACATTTTATGTGAATACCCCCTATTAGCACTCCGTCGCTATAAAATCTGGGGCCAGGCTTTCCTGAAACCAGAGGACTTACAACAAGCGGCTGTCACCAGCCTTATTAGCCTAGTGAGAAACACAGGGCTGGGGCTGTGTGACTAACCGAAACTAAGGCGGAAGTTACAAAAGATCGTATGATTTAGGTGACTCTGGGCGCTTTAAGTGACCGGCCGCACTTTTTCTATTCTATTCTATTCTAAGTTTTATCATACTATAATTGAATAGAGAAAGTTCCCTGTTCATGGAGGACATACTTCAGCGACTCGTATTATAATAGACGGATAAAATATTTTTTAGGGATTCCCAGCTATTTTTGTTTTCACATCTTCGAAAACTACAGCGATGTACAACGCCATCTGGGAGAAAGTTTTGGAAATGATACCTCAATTGCAAGAAAATGTCACAACTATCACCGGTGATTTTGAAGCAGCCCAAATCAAAAGCTTCAAGACTAATTTTCCCAATGCAAGAGTTTGTGGCTGTTTATTTCATTTTAAGACTGTAAGTCACCTAACTATATACATATATACACCTCATATTGTATCAGTATACCTATTTACCAAAATATACTACGATGTTCCATAGGCAATTGTGAAAAAATGGGACAGCTTAGGAATTCAGAACTGCGAATTCATTTTGGAGAAATCCTATGCTGTGGCTCACTTACCAGCGAAAGACATACCGGAGGGTATTCAACATATCACAACACTGATCGATAGAGAGAACAAAGTTGATTTACAGACATTTGGTGCTCATTTGAGGTCGTACTGGGCTCCATTGAAAGACGTCTTGTCTATTTTCAAGAACCCAATACGTACCAATAATACTTGTGAAAATTTCCATATGCACGCAGCCAAACTTATTGGGGTTCACCAACCCACTTGGACCATGATGTGTCAGTACCTAAATGATTCAATTTTATATAATTTACACAAGCATAATGCGGGCGCAAGCGCCCGCCATTTACGTTTCATGGGCATGGGTCTTCTATTACTTATTCTTATACAACTTCAAATCATAACTCCATTGTTTTCAGTCTAACTTGTTGACATCTCCTATTTTGCTCTAATTCAATTTCTTCATTCATATTTCCATTATGGATAATTAAGATAACGAAACAATTATCAATTCAAAAAATCAAGATTCAAACACATTGAATGATAACTCTGAAACCGACCCTTTCCCTTTTACTCCATCTGAAGTGTTGCATTCTTTCTCTTCAACCTCCACAAGATTGGCGTAAGTATTTCTCTTTCTTTACCTTTCATTACTTCTTTCCATCAACTCCCCAAATGATTGTTAATTACGACTAATAATTTACTTTTTTTTCATTAGTGAACTCTGTGTTGTTGTTGATAAGATTTATACACCGATTATTGTGACATGTCGAAATGGAGATTTGAAAAATGTTTTTAAATTTCGTGGAAATAATAATGATAACGAACGCATACAATTTATTGTGTGGAAGCCTCTCATCGATCCTGCTATAGAAAAAATCAAAATTGCACACGTAAATATCAATATTTGTTTTTTATCCATGAATATTTCATTACTTTCCTCTTTTTCTTGATAGGCTCTTCATATTCATGGTCTATACATCAAACCAGTGAAAGATAAGTATAATTGCGGAACAATTCCTTTCGAATTTGTTCTTCAAAAAAATACTTCAATCACAGATTATGGCAAATTTTCAATATCTACCCCTCAGCTAGAATTAGGTAACATTTCTAGTGTTGAGTTGGTTCCCTTAACTGATTTGGATGGAGAGAAGCATATTATCAGTTAATTTATCAATTTTTTTATATAGTTTTATGTTATTACATTCAATTTTAAAAAATTTCAATCATTGCTTTGTTCATTCAGAAATTCACGGATTTATCAAGACTAAATGGAGTATTGTTGGATCAGACACTGGAGCTTTCGAACAATCTTGTTTGGGGTCGATTTGTGACGGGGGATATTTCATTGACGTCAGTATATCTGATTATACATCAAGTTTTGTCTGTCCTTTTGATAAAGGAGAATCCGTAGAATGTGTCCACTCTTTTCTCAAAACAGGTGTTTTTTTCCCCCTATCATTTTCCTGTCCTTTTTAATTTTTTTTTATCATAACTTATTTATTTATTTTTCCAGGGAATTCTATTTCTTTCAGAGTGAAATCTTTGGCGTATATTTCTAAAACTAATTCTCCCAAAGCTACGTTGAAAGATATTATTCTATGCAAACCCTTAAATTCTTTGAGAATTAAATCAGAAGCTGGATGCTCTAAAAAAATGAAACTTAAATAATTTTCCATCAATCAACCATCGAGAATGATATACTCGCACTTTATTTCTTGGAATATCCTCGCGTATATTATTTATCTTTCAAATAAATTTATTAGTCAAAATTCATCACCATTCAATTCTTCTTCGTATATTAATTTTCCGCTTTTTTTCCTCTCAAGGTTTCTCATTATTCAATTCTACATTTCATTCGTTTTGAGAAAAAGACCCTATATGTGGTTATGTAAAAAAAATTTCTCATAAAACGTCGTTTCTTGACGTTTAATAACTTTCTAAGACCCTTTTTTTCAATGAAAAAAATGATCTTAGACTTATGACACTTAAACGTGGCGATTCATTATCCTCTGGGAGAGTATACATATGATTTTTTCCACACAACACATGATTTTTTTTCACATTTTCATTATATTCTCTTTTTTTTTCGTCTCCTTTCATTTCTCTTTTCTTTTTTTATAGTGACATCAATTAATCGATTACACTGATGTTGAACTTATGTTTATTATTACATAATTAACCTTCATATCAATATTTTTTTATGAAATTCACTGTCAATTTAATTCTACACAATTAATGATTGGAATATTGTATTTTTTATCAATTCTTGAAAGGTTTATGACGTTTTCTTCCTACGTTTCTTCTCCAATAGTCTCTTAGACTTTCTTCTTTTGTTGATTCTTTTCCTAATCAAATGGCATACAATTTTTATTAATTTTTTAATAATTATTCTCATTCTGATGGATTTTATTCACCTGTTTCTTTTTCTTTTTTCTTTGAGTTGTCGCAGTCATTCTTTTTCCATCCATACAAAGTTGTCTATTCTCAATATCCCACTTGAGCACTTCAACTTCTACGTCCATCTCTCTCCCAGTGTAATACCAACATTCTTCTTCTAAATCATATCTTGAATTTTCTACTACCACTTTCGTGATTAAATTTGAAGCATTCATTTTTCAAATCTCATTAATTCTTCAATTCAAGGTTATTTGTAAACGTTTGGTTATAAATGAATTGAATTTAGCTTAGAATGTCTTTTTTTATTATTCCCCCATTCGTACTTCCTTTTCGATTGTACGCATTCCCTGTAAATTCAAACAAATGCATCAACAAACTTTCCCTTTATCAGTTGAGCAGCTAACCAAAAATGTACATTTGCAATTACCCATTAGTTTTATCTATTTCATTATAATATTTCTTGATAGACAACATTTTTCACGTAAATGTTGTTATCTCCATTTGTTACCATTCCTTCATCTGACACAAAGATTTTCAAATTTTTTTCATTTTGTACTCTAGATAATGCCACATAGAGTTGTCCATGACTGAAAACACTACTTCTTAAGTAAATTCCTACTTCATTCAGGGTTTGGCCTTGAGATTTGTTAATTGTTATGGCATAAGATAGTCTAATTGGAAATTGTTTTCTACTCATAATGAACGGTAATTCATTTTCTAGTGTTAATAATTTGATTCTTGGCAAAAGTACAATGTCATTCGTAGCTCTTCCGGTAATTACTTTCGTTATTAGTACATGAGGTTCCATTTTCACAACAATGAGTTTTGTTCCATTACATAAGCCATTCTTAATATGTAAATTTCGTAGTAACATAATTATTGCTCCTTCTTTGAGTATTAATTCATGCTCTGGGAAACCATTAGGAGTGATACTATTTAAATACTCCATTGGAATATAATTTTGTGTACACTCTTCTTCGCTTACATTTTTGTCTATACTGAAATATACTTTTTCTTCTCCTTCTAATATTTTAATGATTTTGTTATTTATTTCCAGTGCATCAATATTTAAAGGCGTAAAAATGGCATTATTCCATATATCCTTATCATTTTTTTCGATTTTCCCTCCGTAAATTTCTGAAATAATATCATTCTCACATAAATATTATTGGGGTATTTTAATTGCAGTATTTTGCTTTTCAAATTCATCTTCATATTTCCCATTCCCAACATCTAATAACCAATTCTTGAATATTTCTTGTGATTCGATGATCCTATAGTTCGTTTTTAAAGATATTTGATCGAAAAATTTCCATAAATGACTATTTTTTACACAGCATTCGATAATTGCAGTTCGAGTACCGTGCTTTACTATTGGTAAAATTTGTCTAAAATCTCCAGATAATATTATAACTTTTTTCCCAAACGGTATTTCTATTTTCATTATATCTCTGAGTAATAAATCTATTGCTTGTAATGCGTATTTTTGAGCCATTGTTACCTCATCCCAAATAATTAATTTTGCTTTTTTAATTGCCTTTCCCAATTTTGTATTATGATTCACATTACATATTGAAGATTCATTCAAGGATAATGGTAATTTAAATATTGAATGAACCGTTGTTCCATTCAATAATAAATTTGCTGCAATTCCTGTCCAAGCTACAGTGATTATTGATATCTTCTTCAACATCATTTTTTTAATTATTCCATTCAGCAAATAACTCTTTTCTGTTCCCCCTGGACCATCCACGAAAAAATATCTCCGATGCACTGACTCATTTTCTACAGCATTTATGACCATTTCATACACTCTTCTTTGTTCTGTCCCAAAATTTTCTTCAATTATGGATATTTCGTTTTCTAATTTATCTGTGTTGATGTTTTCATAAATTAAATTTTCGTCCTCACTTATGTTGTTTATCAAAGTTTCATCTACATCAGGTAAATTAAAATCCTTCAATTGATAACCATTATTATTCAGAATTCTTCTTATTGTGTTTAACGCTATGGACTCTTCCTTTCTAATATTCTTCCTAACATCAATCATGTGTTCCTTATAATTATTCCACAAATCATAGGCGTCATTGTTGGGACAACAAAAAGCACATATATAACCAAATAATTTACAAAATTCCCTTGGCATTTAAAATTTGTTAGCTTCGTCGAGACAAAATTCTATTTCATCATCATTTTCGATTAAATTTCTTTTTTTCGCTGCTTCATTAAAAGTTTCACAAGTGATGTCTTCAACTGATCGTAACTCTGTAAAATTCTTCACCCCTCTAACATGAAGTAATAATAGTCTTAGACTATACCGTTCTATGTCTTTAGGACTGATAAAATATATTCTACTTATCACCGGTTTGGTCATTTTCTTTCTTTTTGTCCATTTTTTCAAGTTTGTATTAAATACATAATGTGTGGGAATCTCTGAATATAAATATTTCCTTGCTTCGTGATCGTTCATATTCAACTTGAACCATGCTGTTAAGGTTGTGTCTTTGTATGCTTCAATAGCTCGCTCTTCCGATCCTTCCTTGAAGTAAATCGTTTGTTGATTCTCTAGATGGACTGCTAGTCTTACAATAGCATGCGATTGTTCATGTATTAGAAATTCATTAATTCTATGCATTGCTTCTGGTGGACATATATATCGTGTTGATAAGTACTGTAGAATTTCATCGTATTTATATTGAGTTTCGTTGTTGCTATTAACTAATTCTATTAAAGCTGAATCGTGTCCTTTGTAGCGGTACTTGAATAAATACTTGATCCATAGAATTGTTGAACACAATTCGACATTGATATGACAGTTTAATACTTGTAAAAGATAGGGATTGTAAGGTACGACGAACCGATTATCCGCGACTCTAGT